GCTGTACATGTTTAAACTATCTTGTTTCTACCTCACATATCATGAAATAAATATTGTTGTCTATATCCAACTAGATCATAAGTAACTTAACTTCTTTATAAATTTATGTGATCCTGAACATGTCATTGGAATTCAGAAACAAGAATAGCAACAACATGACTTCTTATGCACCAGGTATGAAAGAAGCTGAGGGAGGGAAAGTAGACAAATGTGTCCAGCAGTTAAAGAGGAATTGTTCAATAACTTACACTCAGTTTAGCAGTAATGATTTGTGTGTGTTATTTGATCCACACCGGTGCCATTTCCTGTAGCTATTGAAATGTGTGATTGATTGGATCAAGGCTAATAATATGCTCATTTATATAAGCATACACTCAGTGCTATTCAGTGGTTCATTTTTAAATGGTTATGGGTTAAACCAGGAGATTTTTAGAGACAATGAGATATATGACTTGCCTAAAGAATGCAGTCCTTCCAAAAGAGTTGACCAAAAATAAATTAATTTCTTTTTTTACAATGAGTTCTAAACAAAGATATCAGATAAGTTGCTTTTAGGAGCTGACATTCAGATACTCAGAGTCATTAAAGCTGACAAACAGCTAAAACATAAGTTTGAATTATAAAATAGTGAAGATTTCCTGTTCCTCTCCACAGCTCCAAATCACATTTTTTTCTCCCTGATATCATGTACCATTTAGCAACTTAGGAAATAACTGCAGTATCCTTAAGGAATGCCAATATTGTACACAACAGATAACAATCATGATTTTTACCACTGACAGGATTCTCTATCCAAATTTTTTATTACTCAGGTAGAGTCTATGCATTTTTTAAACTGTTTGCATTTTCTACCTCCTTACCACTTAGTTCTATGTGTTTCTGTGCTAAATTGCACTACGTCTGATTTTTTTTTAAACACAGTACTTGCCACAAAAAAATCAAAGTATTCTTATTTCTAGTGGAAACTCTTCTTACTTCATGTGAATATACACCAGTAAATTGAACTATAGAAGTAATCTCCATGTCCCTGCAGATTGTAAGATTACCAGACAGAAAAAAATTGTATTAACTCATCTCAGCCTCATTTTTTTTAACCTCACCCTTCAAAAGCATTTCTCATCTCAAAAATTTCTAATAAATGCAGGTAAAGACCTTGCTTCAAATTAACTTACAGGGAGTCCTGGTTGAAAAGTCTGACTCATTTATATCATATGGAGACACCATCAGTGACTTGATTAGTTTTTGATAAACCTTTTTAGGATTTAGAAAAGATGAGCTGGGTGACACAAAAGGAAAGCAGTCAAGTTAAACAGGAGCTCAAATAGGGGAACTGTAACAGCCAGTATTAGAGGAGACTGACTGTGCAGGCTGTGAAAAGGGCTTATGAAACTGCATCCACTGCACTGATTCTCCCATCCACCAAGCTGTGATTAACACGGTTCCATATGAAGCTGGGAAAAAAACAAGATTTAGTAATATCTTCAAAACATATTGTTCTGAAGGAAAAATAGTCCAGTTTGGCTGGTGGGTCTAGGGTAGGTGCCAAGTCAGCTAAATCATGAGCTTTCAAGCACTCCTGGGAAAGAATGTGGAAAGTCCCCTGATTTTATACAGTGTGTTAAAATAGTTCTTTTGTTTGCATCATGTTAAGATTGAATAAGATACCATCTGTGCTGTTTTACATCTTATAACAGGAATAATGACCATAATTGGTCTGTTATCATCTACTTCTACTAATAAAAGAGATAGAAAGATGGGTACCACAGCAAAGCAGGCCCCTTTGTGGCTCTTGCCTGCAAAGGTTCAAAAAACACAGGAGTCTGCATAGATTGGAGGCAAGAAGCAATGGTCTCTAAGAATTAGTTAAAAATAAAAAGAATTAGGAAGACTTTGAGAATAGTAACACAGTTGGGGCTTGTTTCCCATGGTAAGAAGGCACGAGGAATCACAGAGTATGTACCTATGAGTCAATTAAATGTACCCAGAATTGTCTCTGAGGCCAAATGGCATGGAAGAGCCTGTCCATACTGTTAAATTCTCTCAACCTCCAAATCAGGTTGTCTGTGTTGGAACTGCATTTGGGAATGCTCCCTGGCCAGTGTCAACTTCTAAATTGGGCCCAGGAATTTTTCAAGATGGGCTTTCAGCCTTGGGCCAAAACTGTGCCTGGAAACATTATAAGTTAGCAGTGTGGATGACTGTAACACGGTGTCCAAGACTGTTTCTGGCCCTGCTTCATTTATTGCTGTAGATGTAGTCTCTGCATTTAGGTATCTCTCTGCTTATGTGTCTCCAATGTGTGACATTTGAACCCCACCAATTTAAAATTTGATGTAGAGATAGAAAGATTGACCACACCTGGTGCTACAAGGATGTCAGTGAAAACAGGTATCATAGCATTTAAGTGAGACAAAACCCACGGTGTGAATTACGCCTCACATACATCCTAATACGGGACCCCTGGTGGCCTAGTGGTTAGCATGCAGGACTCTGACTGCTGCGACCCAGGTTCGATTCCTCGGTCCCCCTGGGCAGATGGAACCCGTTAGCCCTGTGAGGCCATCCATCTATGAGAAGGTCACTCTAAACAAACCTACGTCCCGAGGACCTCACTGCCATTGTCCAAGCTTGCTTGGCCCCGGCAGATGAACCTTAGGATTAAAGGGTGGGCTCAGTTCAGCGCATGCTGTGTCTCACCTAAAAAATCCATCGCGCAGGCTGGAAAGGTAAAAGACCTTTCCCAAAATCTTTGTTCGCGAAGACTGGCCATTATTATTATATTACGTCCTAATACACTCTCTTTCTCTGTCTGTCTAATTTGGGCTTTTTCATTATTACTGGCTGAACTGCTAGGATTGTTCATGAGCATATATTGGTCATTCAGAAGGTCCCTTCCCAAATGCCAGAAAAAAAATAAGTGAAAATCATACTCTCAGTGTACGTCTTCACCACCCCCAAAAAATCGTTACTACAAACATCTCACCCAGATCCTGATTTTGAGTACTTGAGTACTTGGAAACTGAGTTCACAAAGCTATAGTTTACCCCGCTTATCGATAGAAATCACAATGAGACAGCACTGTTGTCGTGGGTTGATCTTGGTCGGATTCTAGGCACCCACTAAAGTCGCTCTGAGTTGTGAGAGGTCACACAGGCAAAACAGACTCAATGTGGGGTTAATACTAAAATTTATTACTAACAGGATAAGATCTAAAGAGTGAGAAATAAAACAGTCTTAAACACGTTTTCCACCCACCCCTCTTTCCTTCCATGTTCTCCCTCCTCCCCCCATGGCAATGCAGGGGGTCAAGTCCACCCCTCGGGCAACAGGTCTTCCAAATCTGCTGTCCTGTAGGTTACTCTTCCATGGGCTGCAGGGGGACAGCCTGCTTCACCATGGTCCTCACGGGTTACAGGGGGGCCACAGCTCTGAGTCCTTCCCCTGCTCCGTGGAGTCCCTCTCACAGGTAACAGTCCTTGATGGACCTCTCCAGCGTGGGCCCCCCCTTAGGCAGTAGTTCTTCCATATCTACTGTCCCAAGGGTCACTTCTCCATGGGGTGAAGGGGAGGTCTCTGCACCCCGATGGTTCTTCATAGGATGCAGTCCTTCATAGGGTGAGCTGTACCAATGTGGATCCCCCACAGGGCCATGAATCCTACCCAGGAATAATGTGCTCTGGCGTGGATTTTCCTCTCCATGGGTCACAAGTGTCTTGAAGGGCTCCGTTTCATCCTGGGCCTTCCGGGGGTAACGGCCTTTTTCCATGCATCCATCTGCTCCAGCAGGGGCTCAGCTGCACTGCAGCGGGTCGCCCTGGCCCCAGCCCGGCTCAACTCGGCCGAGGGGGGAAGGGAGGGCAGTGCCTGCCAGCAGGGGCCACTCTGCTGCCCTGGCCTAGCCCACGGGGCACCCCCTCCCCACTTCTCACAGTTCACCCTGGGGGCTTTGGCGCTGTCGGTGCTATTCAGCTCCTCGGGCAGGATGTGCTCCAGCGCAGGCTGCTCGCGAGGCTGGCCCGGGGGGGGCTGCGGGGCCACTCTCTGTGGTCACTCTAGGTGTCGAGAGGCCCGGGTTGGGCTGCCACTGTCCCCCCACTGCCTTCCGCAGCGGGGGAGGCGGTGGGCCCACCCGGGAGCTCAATCAGCTCTCCCCCGGCTCAAAAAATTCTTCTGCGCAACAAACTTGTTCTCACAATAATGTTATCACATTATTGGCTCTCCCTGGACTAGCAGCAGGAAGTCCCTCCTGTAGCCAACTATCATTGGCTTCATTGGGGGTAAAACTTCTAGCAGCTTCTAACCGAAACCACCTTATTTAGCCCCCCCCTACCAAAAAACCCAGTCACTTCAACCCACAACAACTATGATCCTCTGATGTTCTTTTTGCTGTTGTTAATTTGTTTGGGTTTTCTATTAGTTTAAGTAGTTTAATTTCAGCAAATATCTGGCACATGGCTGAAAAAGGGCAGGGTGATGCTAGTCAGAGCCTCCTTAGGACTCTGAGTAGAAAGCTACATCCACATGGCAGAGAGTCTAGGGCCTTGCGGTAGGATCTCCCTGGTGGCTGAGTCGCCTCTGCTGTGGTGAGTAGGTGAGAAGGCAAAATTCAGTAGAAACAAGTAAAGGTGTCTGAAGAGTGTTAATGAAATAACTATATGACCTGGTGGTTGTTTTAATCATGTAATACACAGGAAAATTTTGAGTGACAGAATCCATATCTTGCTGCTCTGTGTAACAGAGAGACAAAAAGGTCCGTGAGAGCAAACTTCAGTGGTATAGGGAAGAAATAGGTAAAATTGTGGGAGGGGGATCAGATGATCTGGCAGGGCATTACTGCCTTATGTAAAGCAATAGGTATATAAGCGTTTATTGGTACTGGTCAGTTTTGCTCAAAATGAGATTGTTCTCGAAAAGTTACCCCACGTTAGTCACTGTTTCAAAGCTACATGAAAGCATTGACAGAGAGCTGTGTAAGTGAACACATTTCCAAACAACCTTGGTGCTGGTGGGTGGGTGGTGCTGGAGCTGTGAATATTGCAGGGAAGTGGAGGGTTGCCCCAACACAATGTCCTGCCTCTTCTATGGGAAACCTGAACAGCGAAAAAGAAGTGCATTGTTCAAGAGACAAATGTACGTTCTGTGCCAATACAGACAGGAATCTTTCAGCTGTAGGTAATTCCATGTAATTCCAAGGCTACAGCACTGTCTGATCCATCTCTGTTCTGAATCCGTATACTTCTACTGGTACTCTTTTCCAGATGGGAGACTGAGGAACAGGAAGCCCACAATTTGTCTAAGTAGTATGGACCATCTGTACCTAAACAGGAAATGAACTGGGTCTCCAGAGCTCCAGAAAAAGGCTGTCATCATAGGGTCATATATTTTCACTGTGCCACAATGCTTCTTGTGAAATAAAATGCCTTTCGCTGCTCCCCTGGGAATCTAATTCTGTGTACTGAATAAGTAAAACAGTGAAAGCAGGAACAGAAATAACTTTCTCTCTCTTTTAAGAGTCTGCAGGCTAATTTATTCTGTGTTCGTATTCCACCTTTCTTTATCTACCTTCCACATTTTCTGTATTTTCGTCCATGTTTAAAACATGCTGTCTGTTTCACATGTCGTTCTTTCTTAACAACATAATACTTGACATAATCTGCCCTCTGGATCCTTTCTGTGGTGTAATTATGTTATCTTTGTTGTTATTGATTTCTGTTGCTAGGGGATGGGGTCATGCCACTGCTGGCCGGTTCTTCTTTGCAGCTTAGCTGTATACTTTTAAAGATTTTTCTCCTGAGAGCACTGAGTGCCAAGTTTTGAAGTCATAAAAAATGCCAGCAATCCCAGAGGATGATTTTGTCTGAGGAAAGATTGCAAGATTCAATTATAAAATAGGAGGACAAATAGCAATTGAGAGAAATTCTGATCTTAGTTCTTCCTTTCTGAGAGCAGAGTTTGGCCAATGAACTTTGATTTATTTCTTCAGCCCTGCGATGTTATTTTTCAACAGTTTGAATGTTTCCAAGTCAAAGTATTATAGGATTTCTTTATCAGTTGAACACTTCCAACCGAATTCTTTTTTTTTTAAAGGGGCATGTCCTTTTGAAATACATAAACTACTTTTGCTGTTCACTGAGTTTCTGCTTTTTTATTGCATTATATTCCTTTTTCCCTGCAGAGTAGAAATTTGGTTCCGCAAAATTAAGGGACTGATGCAGAACTGTTTAGATTTGTATAATATTTGAAACCAAAAAAAAAAGATGAAATAGCTGAGGCAGGCTTTTTAAAACAAAATAGTTTCTTTCAACATAAACTGGGATTTGTTTCTATCTAGTTGGTTGATTGGTTTCTTAAGGCAACTTGAGACTGTTATGTGCTGTGCTCCTGGGTGAGATTTTCATAAACTCTTGGGGTAAAATCTGTGGCTTCGGACTTCCCACTTAATCTCTTACAGTCTTACTTCAGCATTTCCCTAAGTAGTTTGACTTCTGCCTGCCTGTCTGAGAGCCTGCTCAAGGATTTTGGAAGTTGGAAGCTCAGCTACTGTGGCCTATAGATTGCTTGCCTATCTGTGAGGTGCCAGATGGGTGCAGACAGGCTATGCCAGACCCTTGTCCTTGGTCTACTTCAGCCTGTTCTGGGCTTTGCAGCTGGCTAAGCTGCTGAGCCCAAGTTGATGTGCTCTGTGGTTGGAAAGAGCTGCCATAACATCATGGTAGACTCTGTGGAGCTCTAAAATGGTTCTCCTGACAGCTTCAGATAATTGTGACATATAATAGCAGACTATTTTAAAGGGTTTTTAGCACGCTATTTTACCATATCTTGTCTATTGTTTTCTTTCCTTGTACAAGGCTACCAGACTTCACCCAGTATTTAGTAATTTTAACACCTAAGATTCTGTAATTAAACACAACTGCTTTGATATGTGGCAGAAGGTAGAAGACCCTTTTTCAAACCCTTTCTTTCTGTTTGTCCTTGAAATTTGGATATTACGGATGTGTCTCTTGGAGAGAGTCTCAGAATTGTGTTCCCTTGTACACAATAAATGCCCACCTTTTAATGAATCTGGAATCAGAATCTGCAGTTATATTTAGGTCTGTAATTGTGTTTCTGGCTTGAGCAGGGAAACATTTATCTCTTCCCTTTATCTAAGACCGCTTTTCTTGTAAGAAATACCATTGTGCTTTCTGTATTAGTATGCCTTTCAGACTGCTCTTGTCACTTTGGTAATGAACATGTAGGTGAAAATAGCAAATATATCTGCCATCAAATTGCCTACAGGAAAGGGGGAGTAGTCTTAGAAAGTGACTTTTGAACTTTTAAACCCAAAGGGTTTTCACCAGATGCTTTTTCTTATTCTAACCTAGCCTGAAATATATCCTAAGCTGAATGTTCTTGTGCTAAGCCAAAATGCACCACTTACAGCTTGCGTGGTTCTTGAATGAATCATGAGCATTGTGTCATTCAGTGAAGAATCCTACTCTGCACATACACTCACACATATACACATACTGCTTTCCTGTAAGAAGACACCGGTTTCTGCAACAAGCCACAGCATGGGCCCGGTTTGAAAGCTGGATAACCATGGGTACATATAGGATAAGTGTATGAACACCATCACCTCATTGCTGGCAACTTGTAAACAGCAAGAAGCCAAATGCACATACTTTTTTTGCCTCTGTGAGTTTTGCTTTTCCCAAGTCCTTTCCGTCTGTCTGCCTTAGGTGGTGTAGACCTCATGTTCAATGAAACAGTCAACAAGAGAGGTCATATATTCTAGATGCATGTCCTTTTCCAGGTACTTGTAACATGCACTAGAAGCAAAATATCCTAGGAGCATGACACAAAAGAATTGGTAGGCAATTTTTATGTGACCAAAAATATAATGTTGTCAAATACTCATGAGAGGAACAGGGGAAAGCATTTATGTCTGCAGAGGGCTCTGCCTTTTTCAAATGCAAACAGTTGCATAGTAAATAGCACTTTTTTTAAACCTCATAAGGCTAAAGTCTTACTTTCTGTTAGAAGACCCCTGCGGTAATGCCATCTACCCTTTACGAGCTCTGTAGGAACAACATATTTAGTTACAGCTGTCAGAGACAGATTCTTTTCTGCCTCCTTCTCCTGCTGGCAGAGTTCCCAGACTGGACCCATTTGGCTGTCAACTTGTTCACCTGCGTCAGCCAAGGGTGTGCAAAGGCATCCCAGAGCACTTGACTCCAATCTTCCTCAAGGTGAGAATAGCTCCATGACAGACACTCTCAGCACGCAGTCTCTCAGCACCAGGGATTGCGAGTGTGAGATTCCCCTTCACACTATGTGGAGTCACACACGGTTCCTGACACAGTGTGCAATGAGGATGCCCTCCAGCTGCCTGATTAGTACTGGAGCCAGCCAAACCATTGAGCACTTACCTCAGTAATTTCTGTTCCTTATGAGCTTAATCCTAAGTAACTGAACATTATTTTCCTACATATAATATAATAAATGCTAACAAGTGATGTGCATGGGAGAAAATGGGGTGAAGCAGAACTATTTGCATGTTTGTACAATGTTGATTTAATCTGCTTAAGTTGCTCTCTTATTTAGAAAGATCTTGTTGGGTTCAGATCAACCTGACAATATAAATATAAATCTGCTCATCTATGCTATAATCCAAGTCTTCAATCAAGACCTTTGAAGCAGAATTTACACCCTGAGCACTCTTGGTTATATATCCATTACCTCTTACACTGAATTTACATTCATAGTTTATGCAGCAATAAGGAAGTTTTATAATATAAAGTCTACATCCTTGGGTAATCCACTAAAAACACTTATTTACAGCTAGAACAACACAGAAAGGGATTACTAATAGCTTTCCTTTCCCTACTACTGCTGCAGGCAGAAAAACAATTGAATTAAATTTGGCTTTATGTGCTGTCTAATCAGATGATTCCAGGATTACTGACTCTCTCTGGCTGCTATGGCTATGAATACATAGAACTGGTCAGTTTTGCAGTGTTGCATTTGTACTCCTGACATTGAATTCATTCAAGGCATGCTTTGTGAGGTGGGAAGAATAGAACTGGAAAGGGTTGGGAGTCAAGGGAAGAATGTTGGACAGCTGGGGTTGATTTGGATTGGTACAATTCCACTGGGGTCAATAAGACTGTCTGAGTGATGATTCAATACAAAATTTGGCCATAACACTTAGATTCAAGAAAAACGGTATTCCCAGTTCTATGGAGACTAAGAGGGTCACATATTGGGGTTTTTTTTGAACATTATCATTCTTTTTTTGATGGCTTTTTGTGGGGGGAACTGTTGGTATGGTATTATGTGTTTGTAGAACCAGTCTGTTTTGTACAGGTTCTATACCCATGGGTAAAAGCAGTCATTTGTTTTACTGTAATTGCATGGCTTGCATGGTGTACAATAGTTTCAATGACAGGTTTGCAAATGCAGTCTTGGACTTTCTGAACCAGGTATGGAATTTACTGAGGGAGGTGGTATAGGCATTTGGATTACAACCTTGAGCTATTGCTTTGCAGAATCTATCTCCAGTCTGATCTGGAATCCTGTGGTGTGCTCAGCATTGTAGAGGAGATACATGCATCCAGCCTTGTGCTTCACAGCGATTTGGAAGAGAGGGGAATATGTCAAAACTGTAGATGGCTTTATTTTAACCTTTTTAGCCACCCATCTGCAACTGCCCAGCCTCCAATCTTGTTCTCATTTCTATGGGGTTTTATCAGTTCTGTTGCAGAATCTTGATTCTATGAATACTGAAGTCCTCCTGCCTGAACTGGCAATGGCCAGTGCTAAGAGGTAGATTTACTTTTTTTCTCTGTACTCTTTTGAGCATTTGGGGTTACACGGAAGGCACTGACCTAATCATCAAAGACCTAGTCTTCAAGCCCTTCCTTATTTTCTGCTCATTACTGACTCAAGCAAGGATCAGTTGACTTCCTTGAGTTCAGCCTCAGCAAAAAAAACAAATTAAGGACTTGGCCTCATGTCTGATGTCATACTCCATTTCCTTTCACTTTAACTGTCCATTTTTCAGGTAGTGAAACTGCAGTAGAGAAGGTGGAGAGGACTTTTTTTTGAACATGGATTCTTCAAGTTATCAAGCATTGCCGGTGTGCTTTTTTCCACAAGACAAAGTAGATGTGGGTTCTTGAGAGAGCTGTGAGAAAATGACAGCCGTGTCACTAGCATGTAAGAACCCAGTGGGGAAATTGGTACTAGTTTCTTTGAATACACGGAATATAGGCAGTTATTTGAACAAGTGATTACTCATAAAAACTCTGCAGTCCTCTTTAGAGCTCTTTATCTTATCTGCTGCAGGTCATGATGGCATTTCCTGGCTCAAAGAGGACCCCAAAATGCTACAGGATAAGATAAGTGCTGTTTCCTGCCCTGGCACACCCAACACTGCCTGCCATGCCCTCAAGGGCAAGCAAACTTTGTCTGTTCTTTGGAGATATATATATATATA